GTAGAATCATGGTGTTGGAGTACTGCTGGCTCCTTGCATCACAGAAGTCATTATCAGAATAGTCATTTTCTTTCTGAGTTTCTCAGTAAATGCAGGACACCATTTATAATTTATTTATGATTTAAAATCCACAAAAAAATAGCAAGGATAACCTAGCTGTAGAAAATCTATAGAAACAGTAGACTCTAAAGTACATTTTTTTACAATAGAGGCATTAGTTTAAAAGAAAACCTAATTGGTTTCACTGAGAATAGTAGACTCTTATGTCCATCTTGAGTCTTACCTGCCACTTGCATTGGCAGCTGATCCCTCCCCTGAGATGTGCTGCTCTCAGAGGCCCTCCTTTTGAGATCCCACCAGATTTTTCATCTCTATTGGATTGCTTTCTTTTCCTTATATATATTCTTCCCTTTCCCCCCATATGAACTTCAGGACTGTAGAAGTAGGTTTGATCTTCTTGCTGCGAGATACATGGAAAGTTCTTTGGGTACAATAAATACAGCTAGCAATGCAACAGCCGTAGTAATACACTTGAGGGTTGTCTTGAAGACCCAGTTTGTTGCTCTGCATTTGAACTCATGTTTGCATCATGCCCCTTCTTCTTACACTATTCAAGATGCTTCAGGTATGGCAGAAGTTTTTGAAAACCTAAGACAGATACAGATAAAAACTACCAACAAAATAATTAATACAAAACTGGGTGCAATTTCCATTGCACCTTTATATAATGACTTCTGGTAGGTACAATATGTAATTGAGGGTAGTTATGCAAATATTGTTCCATCTGCAAGTGGTTGTTTTCAAATGCTGTATGATAAGAACCATGTAAACATAAAACTTGTGAGGGTATGTGATTTCACATGCTCGCGTAGGAGTCTGTACATGTTAAGATTTATGTTTGCACATATATACACATTACAAAACCACCATCAGTAGTGTAAAATGTATCTGTGGTGAGTAATTATATAGGTAATTTCTAGACACGAAGCCTCATGCCATAAAATTCCCTGCAGCTGTTTCATTAGCATGTGTTTCCTAATTTATTCGTGCAAAATAAACATATATTTACTATTATTTAATATGCACCTGTGATAATCTAAATTTAAAGACAGTATATAACTCAAAACTCCCATGCTATTAATAATGTAATGAATTAACTTTAAAGTAAAACTCATTTAAAAACTTTTGCATCTCCAACTCTGAAAACATTGACATAATTGTCCTTAGACTTGCAAAACAATATGTAGGGATAGTTACATATTTCAAGAGGTTCAATATGAAAAAGGGGAACAAAGAATGGAAGAGGAAAAGTATAGTATATTTACCTGCCCCAGTTAAATCTGAAAAACTTAACCCCTACTTATTTCATTAATAGTAGCATGTAGCCCATGCTCACTCGATATGTTTCTTAGTATATGTTTCACCAAATTTAAAAGTTTTCAAAAATTATTATGTACTACATAGTTTAATTATCCTATTGGTATGATATTACTTATGTTTTAAATATTTATTATAATTATTTGATATTAATTATTTCCCATTATCAGCAAAAAAAGATAAGCATTGGAGATCAGATAAAACAAAGAAGAAGCAACTTTGGACAATTAAAGCTGGTATTCAAAGAGCTGCTTTCCATGCACATTGAGCTTCTAGTGCAATTGTTGTTAAATACAACTTGGAAGAGTTTCACTATGTTGTGAGTGGAAATTGAAATCTCTTAATGGATCATGGAAAAAACCAGCAGTCCCTTGAGTGCCATGCCAAATATTTTAATTTAAGGGAAATAGGTGGTGACATTATAGTTACAGAAAAAATAAATTATATAAGTCAATATAGGAGGGTAATTTACTACTGCACAATGCAACTAGGTTAGCTATTACAAGGATGGTTTCAAATGCAAATTAATGTACCTAAGGGTATAATGTAGAATGGGGTGTCAAACTCAATTTCATTGAGGGCTGCATCAGGGTTGTATTTGACCTCGGAGGGCCAGGTGCACGTGATCAGGGTAGGCATGGCCAGCTTGACGTCACTTCTGTTGGGGGTGCCTATGGCGCCTATGGTGGCCCAAGCACTCTGCCAGTGAAAAGAGCTCGGGAAGGCTGCACGCAGCCCTCCTGAACTCCGTTTTTGCTAGCAGAGGTATCACCTCTGTTTCACTGTTTCCAGGGCATCCCCATGGGCCAGATCTAAGCACTCCACAGGCCAGATCTGGCCCGTGGAACTTGAGTTTGACACCCCTGATGTAGAAAGTACTATCTGAAGTAGATTTTTTTCATCAGTTATGGATGAAAATAAAATATAGGTAATAAATTGCTTGAATGCAAATATATGCATGTGTGTGCATGCACGTCAGATGCACACATTTAATTTTAAGCCCAAACCATATCAACAAACCAGAAAACTTTTCAGCTCAAAAGAGAAGACATTAGTACTACACTTAACACAAGTAAGTAGAAGACTGGATACAAGTTTTAGCTGAAAAAATAACACCAGTTATTATCCAACCTAATCTACAATAAAGTTTGAATTGAAACCAATACACTCCTTCTGATAAAAGGGGAAAAAAAGCCCTTTAAAATCACATGTTGCATTTTAGAGCATGCTATAGGTCTATTTATTAATTATTCTCAGTTATGTTTAATCAATAATTATTTGTTGTAAGTGCAGCGTGTGTCCATATGCACATGTGCTACATAGTTTTGGATTTAATTATGAAGCTACTTTGTGGTATCTCAATTCTGCCACTTCTTAGAACAGCTGTTATTTTTCCTGGTAAACACATGCCTGCTATCTTAGGAAAAGATATGGCTACTTTAAAAAATTGCAGACAGGTGCTATAACTGTGCCCCTCTGATCTGAATATAAGATTAAAAAAAGAAGACTATATTTATATTTAATTAAATATTTTAATTAAAAAGCAAAAATATTCTTCCAATATTTATTTACTAGGGTATAACCATTCTGAGTGCATCTAATTGTATTTTAAGAGGGAAATGAACACCAGTGAGAAGTTTCTTTCTTCCCACTGTTGATTCAGAATATTGAGGGCATCCCTGGGCAGATTTAAGGCAGCAGCCCCCAACCAGGGACCGACACCAGGAACCGGTTCTGTGGAGAGTGTTTTTTCCACGTACCAGAGAAGGTGTGGTTTTGCATGCGGCCTGCATCTTGCAGATGGGGCTTTGTTTGCATGGCCTGGTTCCTGGCACGTCATGACCCAGTGCTGGTCCATGGACTGGAGGTTGGGTGTATGCCCTGCTTTAAGGTATATGCAAAGGCATACATGTGTCTGGGTACACTTCTGCATCCACATCGGTCCATGAAATTTGAAAGATAGTAAGATAAATACCCACATCATGAGTAAATGAGTCCTTTCGTTGAAAAATATAGTCAATAAATTAAAAAATATGTATGAACAAGTAAATAATCTTGTAGAGTCAAAACATCATGCAAAGATAATATGGCTTGGAATAATATTAATATTAATAAAATAATAATAATATAATAATAATATAATATAAACTATTATAACAGAAAGTATAGTTTGGACTACAGTCAATAGTTTATGGTATTAAAATTTAGCATGCTGTGTAAATTAGATAAATCATAGAATTTTGTTCTGCCTACACAAGCCAGAAAGTACTGATCTACTAGCATCTACTTCAAGTAATAATGGCTCAATCTTCCTTATACAAAATCAAGACTGAGAAAGTTAATAAATGATTTGGTGTAATGTCTAAATATGTTTTGCAGATTGTGGCTTGGGTTATTATGATTATACATGATGTGTATATAAAGATGTGTGTGTGTGTGTGTGTGTGTGTGTGTGTAAAGTACCATGCTTTACATTCTAAACTATACTTGGTAAAATACATTTAGTATGATGGAGATATATTAGAACAGTGTTAGCAATATCTTATGAATTATGTGATCACCTAGAACAGTCATCAAAAAGTGAGTCCCAAGGGCCATACATGTTAGCATATCCTTGGTGCTTTCCAGCTCTCCCCTTAAAATGGGTAAAGTCAAAATACTGACTCTTTTTTTGGTACTTTTTATGGTTTGGAGAGGGTCCAGGTGTAAATGTATGCCAGATGCTCAAGGCACAATTTCACAAAGCTCTCCTCAGTTTTGTATGTAGCTAAGCAAACTGTGGAACAGTCCTCAAATCAAGGAAATGATGTCTTGTACAACCCAAGGTTGCTGAGAAGATGCCATCATGCCCAAATTGTAACTTGAGTTTTAAAAGAACTTAAGAAACTATATTTGGATTTTATATCAGAGCATAGTATAGAAATATATTGTATATGGAAGCTAAATGCTCATACTAAAATAAAAGATGTTTTAATCCTGTAGGCTTCCATTAGAATTTCTAGAATATGACATAAATTATTTTGAAGATCTGTATACTAACAGTTGTCAGAGTATTTTTTCTAATTTAATGTTATGCCAATGTACAAATATCACATAGTTAAAAATCTTATCATTAAAAATAAAAATTGACAATGGATTAGGGGCAACTGTGTATAATAATTTTTTTAATAAACTACCCTAGTTCTACATAAGATTTAATAATAATAATGAAACTCAGAGCTGTAATTTTCCCTCTTTTTAGCTGTTACTTTGATAGCTAAATATAAACTCATCCAGTTTTTGGAAATAACTACTAATGTTGCTTGTTGCTTCTATTTTGATGAAAAAAAATATTTACATACAACCCCCTCAAACCCTTCTTAAATGTCCATGAAGGGAACTAGAAATCTTTTTAACAGCATTATTCCTGGAATACAAGAAATATTATTTGAATTACTTTCTAAATTCAACCATACCGTTTTAGGCTCAAAAGAAAGAAAAGCTTTTCCATTCTGATATTAAGATTTGCTGAATTTTAGTTGGGAGTTGAAAGAGATGAAATTTAAAAATAGAGAGCACTTTCCCAAAAAGCACAGTACGTTTGGCAGAATCCCATGGGAAATAAAAACAAGCCACAAGTTTCCTAAAAGCATTTATTTTATAACTTCCATTAGAAAAGACCATGGAATTGTTAACAATTGAAGAAAAATGAATTCTAATGGAAAATGATTCCTAGTGAATTTTACAGCACAGCAACAGCTAGACCACAATGTGCCATGGAATCTGAAAGACACAAAGAGATTAAAAGCTTTGAAAAGACATTGCATAGAAACCCTTACACTTGGAAAATCTTAATAAATCCATTGCGTCAGTTCACTTACTCCTTTTTTGTCAAGCAGTTCAAGAATTTTTGCTCAGTAAAGTACCGCTACGTACAGTAGCCATAGAACTGTGATCCCCTTGAGTGCCTATGATTCCATTGTTCGTTTCCTGCAATGCTTTTTTCACCAGGACTGGAAAATCACCCACAATTATTTTTCTGCAGTGAAGAAAGACAACTAAGTACTTTACGTATTGGGGTGAATGATATGTTATAACATGTTTACATGTGGTATGCATTTACAACTGGTAAGAAATGGAGAACTATTTCTGAAAATGGCACTGGAGGTTGCTGTTTTAATTATATTTAACACATGACAATTATTTTTTTGAGACAGAGCAAGGAATTTTCTCAAAAAGTATCTGAATAGATTTGAATGTCTTACTAACCAGGCAATTCAGAAAGAGAGCTTGGATGGGCATTTGGTTTAAGAGAGAGCTTTAACTTTAGACAATTATTTAATCTATGTGGGTTTTCATGGTTTAATCTTTCTTTATTATGGTCAAGAGCAGCAAAAGCTGGAAATGTCACATGTCTCTCTAGGAAGCCCTGTGATATAACATTTTGTTTTGTTACATTATTTTTCTATATGTTAAAGAAAGAGTAAAATAAATTCACTATATAACTAATAAATTCACCATTTACCTAATAAACCATAACCAAAATAAAATAAAATAAAAATAAGGCCAGAAGATAGTAGCCTAACTGCATATCTACAAGAACATTAACTTAAATAAAAATATGATTTAATAAATAATAAATAAGTAATACAGTTTTAATTAAAGGTTGTTTTCATTTTGTTTCAACCAATGAACACTTACACAAATATCTTTCAGAAATTCCATATTAGACTTTTTAGCTTCAGAAATATTTATTGATATCTTCCATTAGACAATATTATGATGGCTTGAAGACTTCTGTCCAAAATATCTTCCAAAATTATCCATTTATTTGAAGATGCCTGGTTTATCTGTTTGTATTATAGTTGTGCTGTTAACAGCTTTGTATTCAGTTCCACAATGATGAAATAACAAGGGCTATATTATACAGTCTTTTCAGAGCCTCTACAGGGCCACGTTTGACCTCAGTTTTATTAAAAAGTATAGCAAGAATAGCATTTGTTTTGACAATTATTTTTTTAAAAAAATCAAACTTTCTCTTGAAGAAAAAGAAATCAACATTGAAAATGGAACAGGATATAAACATTGTCTCTTTGGGATGACATATAGCAATTAAAAAACAAAACAAAACCCCACACTCTGGATTGCTGCATCTTTGGTTGAATTAATATTTGTAATTACAAGGGCAAGATCAACAAAAATAGAAACACTTTTAATGTGAAATAGGCTAATAAATCCTATTTCAAGTCTACAAATATGTCTATGTCAATTAAGAACTTCATAAAAACCAATAAATTAATGTCATGTACTTGTGTCACGTTATCATTTTGAAAGGACTTAAACTGATTTGCAAAGTCTATTCAGTATAGAAGTGACATGGTATTTTAAATATCTAACTATAGTTTTGAAGTATTATCAAATACAATAAATTACCTGTTAGAATAAAGTCTGGTGCTGATGGAGTGACTTCAGAAAACAAAATATAAATAATTAAACTATTTAACTATGCAGAAACTAACAGTTCTTTGGCTAAAATCAGGGATCTGTGAAATAATGTGTGCTCTGTTTTATTTTATGAATTAATATTTTTATTAAATCAGTCAGATGGGTTATTTTATTTTACTGTTTTGTGTTTTAAAAATAATATTAATTAATTATTAATAATATTTTTAAACAATCAACTCGCATTAATGTGACTATCAATAAATAATTAAGTTACTTAATTTGTTTGGAATTTGTTTGTAGTTTCACAAACATATAATATACACTGCTATCCTTGTAAGAGTCTTCACTCAGATATGAGCATAGAATTTCCCTATTCATTTCAATATAGTTACTTTATCCACACATGCACACTTTTATGTATGTCAGTTGGGTCTATGCACTAATTTTAACAGTTAGCACACTACATACATGTATACAAAACTTGCAATGGCATTAGTCATTTCTGAAGCAGGGCACAGTTGTTCACACATTTTATACAGGAAACCATGCTATGTAATTTATTCTTCTTGAATTACCGGAGATACACAACATACACAAATGTTTTATGTCAACTATATCAAAATATTTTCTTTTATATTTATGTTACATTGCTCCTTTTCCAGCATTTTAGCATGACCCTGGAGAATCTGACTTACTCATTTCACTTAGTTGTGGCTGATATAAAAGGTCATTTGCAGTACAGAAGTATTTGTGAGGTCAGGCTACCATGATGTATGAATTCTAAATTTTTTTTTTTCCAAAAAAATGTTATAGTTATAATAATTAATCTTTTTAAATATAGGTATTACTCATAAGAAACTATTTTTAGATAGCAAGTACTTATTTCCAACACTAATAGTATATTATTGAATTCATCAAAGATAATAAAAAGAAAATATGGATGTTGCAGTTTGAGAAGATATTACTGAACTTGTGTAAGGTGCAAAAAAAAAAAGTTAAAAGCAATGGAAAACTGTGTGCTATATTTTAATATTTTATGGCTCTAATTTCCCAATAAAAATATTATTGACCGTACCGTAGTCCTGATCTGATCGTTCTACTCTATGTAAGGAGCTGCAGTTAGGAGGCACAAAGTTCATTGAGTGAATCAATCCTCTCAGTATCATGGAAATCTCAGTGTGGAGAACAGATGCCAATAAAGCTATGCCTGCTATTGAACTGAATGGAACAGTCTCTACGTAAAGTACATGAAAAGTTTCTTTGATATATCGTAGGACACACCTGTTTTGAAATAGGGTTGCACAAAGAATAGTGAATGTATTAATTCTTAGTATGAGCAATTGATCTTTCAAAGCAGACATTCTAAGGTTAACCTTCATATGCCTAGTGAATGCCACAGCATGTGAAATAAGTCTGAGTCTGAATGGTCAAACATTAGCCTTGAATATCAATAGGATCTATGTTTTATTCAGGAAAGGAAGAATAAGCAGGCACACATTATACGTATTGTATAATTCAATTCCAGTATAGAGTCATAACTTCATAGAGGCTCTCAACATGTCAAGGGCTTTTATAACTACACAGATATTTTTGGTAGACAAGCTGGAACACCACTATACTAAGGAAATACTGAATTTGAAACTTTAGAAAGTGAATGTACTAGTAAGTAATGAAAGCAAAATTAAGCAAATCTTATTTCAGTCATTTCAATTACCATTGTAAGACGTTAGTATTATAAACAAGTTTGTAATTTATATGCCATTGGTCTGTAATGTCTTTCGTCTTTATGATACATAAAGGATTAGCAATGTGCTGTGTGATCACATATATCAAAATCAAGTACCCTGCCTTGAAGAAAACAGGTGACATAAAAAAGCTTGGGAAGAAACAGGATGCAACCAAACATATGCAAACTTTATGTGCATACATTTAATCTTACTACAAAATGTCCATTAATCCCCATTAGTCCTTTTATTTAGTAATCAGTTAATGTAAGTTGCACAATAAACTTGTATGCTTTGCAGCAGAGGTGGGTCTCAAGGAGATAAAGGAGAAGAGAGTTGTGACCTTATGGATTAGTTAAAGGGACAGCATTCCATGCACACGGGACAGTGTGGAATATGCTACATTAAACCTGAAATTATGCAGAGCAGCAGTACTCCCGGTAGACTCAAAGGGTGTATGTGAGGTGCCTATTTTTTGAGACAGAGGCAGTGTGGTTCTGTGATTAATAACTGGCCATTAAGCAGGCAAGTTAATTAAGTGATGCAGGACTACACCAAACTCCTGTTACTTGCCACTGTTTCTCATAGGGCTGCTTCACACATGACATGCCAACATGACGGGAATCATAGTGTAGGGGAAAAAGCAATCAAGGCGATCATTTTGCCAGTGTCCATTTTGACTCTGTTACACGCTTAGACAAACAGCACAACATGTGTGTGCATATTTTTCTACGCAAGGAGGCTCCAGTTTGTAAGAAGTATATTATGTATGAAGCAGTCCTAATTAGTAGCCAGTTAGCACAGTAACCTTGTGGTAATGACTGGGGAACAACCAGAAACGGTCTCAAACATATAAAGGGAGCGAGAGTTGGGATAAAGGAGGCAAGGCAAAAGAAGAAGAAAAAATGGGATCATTTATGTCAAACAAGATTTCTCAAGGGATATAATTATTTTATACTTTTGCAATCCATTAACCATACTGATTGTAATGGTTTGTGATTGATAATTTGAACCACTACATACAATTGTGTATTCCACTTTAGTATAAGATGGTGCAGGAAAAAAGAATAAAAAATAAAGAGACAAAAATGCTTCCCCTTACCCTTCTTCTTCCGTACTGAAGCTTGGAAATAGAAAGGGAATGAAAATAAATCAAAATCTGAAGAGAATAGTCTTCTAATAAATGTTAAGGCTTAAGCACTAACACTGAGCATTAGACACTCCTACTGGTAGTACTGGATGAACTGTATTTAAGAGACATTAAAAAGTTGGCCATTTCTAAAATCAATACCTAATTTCAGAACTTAACCAGTATAGATGGGAGTTTGGGGGGGAAAATACAGTTTGAAAGAGACATTCTCAAAATACTTAGAATTTAAAGAGAAATGAACTGTAACCCTCTGGTTATCAATTCCTAATTACTTTTCTGCAAATGTTAAAATGATTTATGAATGAAATTGTAATTATTAAAGGGTGCCTAATAGTGATAATTCAAAGACTTAATGGAATAAGAGGCTTCCATATAATCAGGCTATGAGTTCTTAAGTCTGTGGATTCCCACATGACAATTGGAGGCAGATATCGGTATCTACTCTAAAATACCAGCAACATGGCTGATAAAATGTCAGCACATATTCATTGTTTCATATAAGAATTACCTGAAGTCTTTTCATTACTATCTACAAAGTTATTTGTGCTGATTAAAAGTATTCAGCACAGACTTTGTTTTCCAGGTCAGCAAATATCTCCCAAAGATGGATTAATTTTCAGGACAGCAAAAATTAAATATTACTAATATATAACATGTCAGAGGAAGGGATTATCTGAAAGTCAATGGGTTAAGTGTTTTTAGGGGCAAATAGAAAATAAATCCAACCACCACAATGCTTCTAGAGTTGTCTACTGCCTGAAAGCTAAATATATTTCCTATTATTTACAAAAGAATAAATTGCTCATCAAACTTGGAAGATATTTGAACCAGTTTTAAGTGAAATAAAAAGGGAAGGGGCTGGAAAATAATATTTTAAAAGCAGCATAACCAAAGTACATTGGAAATAACATATAGTTAGCATATGCATTGTACCTAATCTAATTTCTAACATTTCTACAGGGTAGAAAATGACCAATCTGTGCACATAATTCATTGACAACGGACAGATATTCTAAGTTTGAAAAAAATAACTTATTTTCTGAAGCATTTTCTTTTTTTAAACAGTAAGATATAATATATATATTTACAATAGTTTACTTAAGAAAGCATAATATTTTCATTAAATGATCTTTATTAATTACATTATGGGTGTAGCTATGCTAATTGAAGAAAATATAAACAATCTAAAATCTAAAAGAAATAAAGACCAATTTCTCTGATAAAAGAGAATCAAAGCCTTTTTTCTCCAATTACAATAATCTTATTCTCAATTAATTATTTAGTAGTATTTTATTATGTGATCATAATATTTTGTAATAAACTTGGCAACTTTGCATATCATACCTCTCTGCCAGTTAACATGCATTTCACCGTGCTTTAACATATTCAATTAATTGATATACAAACAGATAAACTTTCAAAGCACCAAGTCCTGAAAGCTTCTTAGAAAACATCTAGGCCAGAACCAACTACATGAACCTTATGCAAGATCAACTCTACAACTAATAGTGCTGTGCTTTAATGGAAATTAGGAAACATCCACTGAATGGCTATGATGACATTTTCAATTGCCTGTGCTATGCAAGGAAAAGGCTTCTTAAGAACAGGAGGTGGTCTACTAAACAGCCCCCATTGCTGCTATAGCATATATTTATTAAACATACACATATATCCACACATGTTTTCTCAGAACAATACTCAATTTGCTTCGGTGATACATACAAACTAGCAAGTAAGTGTGCACAGGATTGCACGCTGCATGTATATATTCAAATTCTTTACTACAGACAAGCAACCCAGACTACATTTTAATGCTACAGATCTGGGTTGCAAAAATATATACAATTATTAAGTGGCAACAAAGAGATACAGAAACATCTAACTCATTATTGCCCTCTACTGGTCATTCCACTTTTAAAAATATCTGGTAGTTCTAACATTAGCACTACTGGCAGGCATACATACACAGCTTACATTGTGTATTCTTCTACAGCTTGATAAGAAGTACCTAAGTTCAATAAAATGCCTAAATATCAATAAAACTTCCTCGCTTGAAATTAGTTGAATTTGAAGTGGATTGGTAGTTTTAATGATACATGGGAAAGAACTTGGGAGATGGGACAAAGAAAAGTTGCCTAGAATTGGCCAAATAAGAGACAGCATAGCCTGCAGTTGGATAGTGAGAAGGCAACAGGTTTAGAAGGTACCCTCCCTATTTCATAGGCTATAAAGAGAGGGGGGTGTTGGTGAGAGATTTATATTTTAAGACTTGCAAGAGTCTGGTTAATGTAGTTTTACAGGAGAGCTAGCCTGTCTGCTCATGTTCCTGTCTGGCCTACCTTGACAGTAGCTTTATTCACACCAAATCTGTGTACTTCTGTAGAATTTTGAATAAATCAAAACTAGATTTATGAAGCTATAAGACAAGATTTTATCACAAGCATATTTTTGTATATAAAAATCATATTACTAAAGAAGAAAGGTTATAAATGGTTAGACAAAAATATGGAAATGAAATATGTTAGGGAATTTTACAATACAAGGATAACAGAATTATACAGAACATAATTTAAAAATGTACTACTATTGGATGGACTTAGGATAATTAATGAATTGTTATAATATAAATTAATTTAAAACTTTGAATATCTCGTATAAAAAGATGGAATAATAGTTTAGTCAAATAAATGATTAATGATGATAATAATGTAAACATATATATTAGATTGATAATATTAGAATTTATACAAACTGTGAGGACTGTGGAGAGAATGCACAAAAGATTTGTAACCAACCGACACACTGTATTTATGTAACTGGAAGATGGTTTTATGTTTTATGTTTTGTTTGTGTATGTTTGTCTAAAAATAAAAAATTCTTTAAAAAAAAGAAAGGCTGTTCTTTTATATTACAGTGATTATTTTTCTATTTTTTTTACAGTGATTATTTTTCTATTGTTTTTATCTTTAAAAAAGTATTCAATACTAAACTTTTTAAAAATATTATAAAAGAAAAAAACCTTAAGTCTAAGAGTTTTAGTTGACTTTATTTAGGAAAAATAAGCTGATTTGAGCCAGAGTGATCCATTTGAAGTAGTTATATGTGCAGTTATTATAGTTACCTTTATACATCTTCAAATCCTACAGTACTTAGGAAGTCTTTGAAAAACAATGAACTATTTTCCTTAATTCAGTTTGCATTTTTATACACATTTTATCCTCCCAGAAAATCTCAAAATACTATAGTTAGATCATCTAAAAGAGCCATACTGAAGAATATTGCAGATTTCAATGTATAGCAAAACAGGGGAGGGATTGCTATAGATTGAGATTGTACAAATTTGATGGGAAATAATATAGAATAATATAATATATAGGGATGGCCATCGGCATTGACAGAGGGTACCAACAAGCAAGCTGATGGGAGTTACATCACAGTTTAGCCTAGTGGTTAAGGCATCCGGCAGCAAAGCAGGAGACTGTGAATTCTAATCTTTCCTTAGTAATGAAAGCCTACTGGGTGACTTTGAGCCAGTCTCAGCTCAATTCACCTAATAGGGTTATTGTTGTGGGGAAAATAGGAGGAGAAAAGTGTGTTGGATAAGTTCACCACCTCATAAAAATAACAAAAATGCTGGATACAAATAAATAAAATAAAATGATCTGAGTCCCAGCTCTTTGTATTCTCTTGCATGAGACTACAGAAGCAGGACATAGATCATAGCTCCATTTCAACCACTTGGCCTGTTTGCCTGT